ATTAGATTAAAACCAAAATTAAATCAATTTTTATTCTACTTTTTTTTTTGTCTTTTTTGAGTAGGCAGATCACCTCCAACTTTTCCATACTTACATATAAGTATACTCATAAACAAAAAATTGGTGTGCGGCATTTTGATAAATTTTGGTTGTATTTGGATTTTTTTATTTAATGTTTATTAACTTTTTATAAAATTCTAGCGTTTTATACAATAAACAACATAAGTAAAATTCCACACTTCAAAGCTTGTACAAAATCTAGAAAAATTTATAAAACTTTTTTAGCAGAATATTTAGACAATTTTTTGGTATGCAGTTTTCTAAATCATTAAATTTTAGTGAATTAAGTGTATCTTCAGAGCGGCTGAGAATTCGCTTTGATTTTTAATAATTTTTTTTGCTGACGGTTCTACGCATATAGAGTATGCGAAAACATTTTCCTTATATGGTCAGCAGAAAGATTTATTAAAAATCAGCTCGAATCTTCAGCTACTTAAAGATGCACTTAATATATTAGAATTTAATGGTTTAAAAAACTGCATACCAAAAACTTGTCTAAATATATTACTAAAACAGTTTTTATGAATTCGAAACTTTGAAATGTGGAATTTTACATATGCTCTTTGTTATATAATACGCTAGAATTATATAAAATGTTAATAAACATTAAATAAACTAAAGCCAAATTCAAACAAAATTTATCAAAATGCCGCACACCCATCTTTTTTTGTTCATGAGTGTTTAAACACACATATGTATACTACTTAAAGTTATATTTTTTGCAAAACGCTTTTCATTAAACTAATGAATTCTTTTGTAGCACTACTTTGCTCTTAAATAGCATTAACGCATTCTGCTGTTAAAACTTTTCGTCGTCTATGACCACTTTTAACAGCTCGTTTTGCTCTTTAGCTAGTTGCACCACCTCACCCATATAATTTCTTTTCCTTTTAGAGGATGTGGAAGCTGCAGTCGAAGATATGTTCGAAGTGTCAAGTGGCGAAGAAATGGACAACACCACCGGCGACGAAAGCGGTGACGAAGTTTGAGGCGATGGTGACGGTGAAGGTACAGCGGGTGGCGAGGATGGTGGTGCTGCGGTTGATGACGGTGCAGCAGCAGCGTATGGATACGACTGAGGCACTGGGGATGGGGACGCTAAACTCGATGGTGATGGCACCGGCTGCGGTCCTGATGTCAATATATCCTAAAATTAAGAAGTTTTATGTATTTTTAAAGTTTTACAAAAATATATGTACATTTATATTTATGTGTGAAACTGAAATTTTACCGTTGAAAAAGATTCTAAAATCTCAGCGTTGTTTGTGTGTTGAAACCGATGATTTGGTGGACTGCGTCAAAATGTTTCCACAGCGAGGGACTCCCACCAGATGGTCCTACCTTTTTCTTTTCTTCTCTGAAATTTTACGTACATTTGCAATTAGTGTTAAATGGAAAATGACTTACCTATATCTTTGGGTCATGTTTCTGATTTTTATGTGGATCTCCTTTGCACTAAACTTTGATGCCATCTGTGTCGATATATCCGCATATATATGCAGATTGCGCTTCGC